GAACTTTTTTATTGCCACCGCACTGCCCACTTAGAACTTTGTGGCAGTAGCAAGGCTAGAACTCAGATCCTCCAGCTCACAAAACCCAAGCCTCTGTCACTTGACTTAAAGGAGAATCTCCCTTACCGCCCAGCAGTATAGGGCTAATGACACACAGTTGAGAAGCTCTGGTCACACCCATAAGAGGGCATGGGTATGCACATACATGCTAGTCAGTTCATTACACTATTGTTGTAAATCCAAGGTAAAATAATGTCAGCTTGTTAGAGCAACAGGGATCGGCTAGGGTGAGGTTTTATGAATGACAGATAAGACCACTCACTGTAGCCCTGGGCTTAGGAGGGTGTTGTCAGATCAAGGCTTGCGACAGGGCTTGAAGGAGGGGCTTCGCTGTCTGTGCCTGTGACTGAGTCACAGGTAAGTGTGGTGTTGGGATACGTTGTAGGATTGTGAGGTGGGCAGCTGGCAGCTGAGTGATTGCACCAAAGCGATTTATAATTCATATCGGGGTACCGCCTAGCACCCGTGGCGCTAGGCCCTGTACAAACACAGAACGAAAAGACAGTCCCTGCCCCACAGCACTTACAACCTGAGTAAACACCAAGACACGGAATTGGGGAATTCTTTCCTGCAGCCTTCACCAGCACAATCGCAGACCCCTAGACGGTGGGGCAGGACCTCCCTGACTCCCCACAGCATGCCAACTGCTCCCTTGCTTTTCCCAGCATGTGGAGCGAGGTCTATCGGCTTGCACAGCCGGCTGAGGGAGCTCCCCTGGCTTTCCCTGCTACACCATCCCAGCAACCAAACTGCCCGGCCAAACCACAAACATTTGTTTGTACGAGTGGCTCAGCTGTCGTATGTTGTTTTCTTTATTTTGCACTGAGAACAGCTACAGTACTTTCCCGGTGCCAAAACAAACCCATCCCCCATCTTCATGGCTGTACGTCTTAGAACAGCTTCGCTTGCTGGCTACATTGACCCCAGGAAGGGATCTGGGCCTGCACTCTTCCTCCTCTGTCTCCCCTTCCTTCCTGGCTCCTCTGTGGATGGTGGACAAGGACCATCCTCTCCCTTTGCTCTGCTCTGACCAGGTATGTTTCGCCCCCCAGGATGAGCAACCCCCTCTGAGAGAACTCGGGGTCCCTTTGGGACTTGTTTATCCAAGCCCCAGGAGGGAGCAGCAGGATTGCCTTGTGCTCTCAGCAGCTGCACTCTGCTGCAGGGCGAGGAGGCGGTGGAGGTGGAGAAGGGATACCACCCAGTGGCTTAGTCACCAGCCCTTCTCTCGGCTGGAGATCCCAGCCACAGGAATGATCAACAGGGCTCTAGGGCAGGGGCAGCAGCTCTGAGAGGCTTGGAGAAGGGCCCAGCGTTCCCATAATCAATGGGACAAATTCTGCTCTGGGTTACGCCCCTTTGAAGCCAGTGGGCATGTACAGGCATGGGCAGGAAAATTCAGCCCGACAGACCCAATTCTCCTGGCACGCCCAGATTGATCAGGAGCGACTGTTGGAATCGCTAGCAAAAAGCCAGGGCCAGGGCAGAATCAGGCCTGCTGTGTTTATTTTCCCACCCGTATCCTGATCGTGTCCCCTGAGATGAATGCCATGTGCAGGGCGCTGGAAGGGACGCTGCCTCGCCAAGCATCGCACAACAGCAGCTTTGGTAGGAGGGTTTGAGTCAGTCCTAGCACTGGCAAAAGGTGCTCGTTTGCCAGCCCCAGGAGCGGAAGCCTTTGTTCCGTGACTGGCCCCAGGAGCAGAAGCCTTTGTTCCCCAGGCAGTGGCTTTGGGGAGGGAACAGGCCTGGGATTCTGTGGATAAGGGGCAGTCGTGGGACCTGGGTTCTGGCCTTGGTGCTACCCCGCTTTACAAACTTGGCAAGTCACTTCCCCTTAGTTTTCCCATCTGTAAAATGGGGGTGATGGTTACCAACCCACCTGCAGCTAACAGATGGGAAGGGCTGTAATATTAAGAGCAGGACGTAATTCCCAACAACAATTCCCTCTCGCTGTGCCGAGGCAGAAACCTCTAGCTACAGGTTTCCTGGGCAGCCAGTCCTTCCAGAAACACACCTTTTGTCCGGTCCAGCTTAGTCCCTGACAAAGGGGGAATGTGAGAAGGAGTGACAGGCCAGTGGAGGGTGTGAGCGAGAGCGTGGTAGGGAGGGATTCTCTAGTCCCCATGACAGAAGCCGCAGGGATCTTTAGGCATGGCTGGCGGGATGCCACACAGGACTTTACCTCACCTTCTCCAGATCACACAGAAAGGGGCCGGGGGAGGGGGAGATAAGCTGAAGGAGGGAGATCAGGGTTGCAAGAGATATTTGGTGTGATGCAAAAACTCTCATCTTCACAGCCCCGGCTCTCTGCAGAGTGACTCAGCTTCCAGAGCTCAATTTAGCTTGGGTGCAAGCACTCCACTGGCTTCACGCCTGCTTACAGCCGGGCTGGGGCCAGGAGCCACGTGGGCAGAGGGAAAGGGACTGAGAGGAGCACTGAGAGGAGAGAGTCCTCCCGCACTCTGGCCCTCCCCAAAGCACACTCAGCCCAACAGGTTTCAATGGCATTAGTAGGTGACTCCTGATCCTTCTCCCCCACTCCATTCCCTCTCTATTAATTGCTTCTGACCCTTGGCAGGCCTGTCTCCAATGGACAGTGATGGATCGGAGGTCGCTGGGACTCACTAGAGATTGCTTACCTTGACTCCAGCATCCTCCCCTCCTTTCTCCTGGGCCTTGGGGTGTGATGGGCAAATCTCAAAAGGTTCAGTCTTTGCATCCAGTTTGGTTAAGCACCAAATATTCAGGTGATACCCAACACAATCTGGAACCCCTCGGTCTCCTATGATCCTTCTTACAGAGGCGGTCCATAAATGCCGTAACACATTTTTGGATGATTTTCAAGACCCACCCACCTCTTGTAACACCGAAACATACAAAATTAAGGAACCAAGGACCCATCCACGCCCTAATGTGTTACGTCATTTATGGACAGCCCTACTGGGTTCTGCCGCAGAGCAAGCCCCATAGATATGGAAACAACTCACCTGCCAGTGCCCCCTTGTGGCTGGGTGTGGGTTTGCTGGGCTTTTCCCTTGGTCATCACCTGCAGCCAGGACCTGTGAAAGTTCAATCTGCTTCTGGGGCTGCCATGTCCAGCTGTAAATGGTCAGGCCCCCAAGCTGTCTTCTCCCAGCTGCCCTCTTCAAAGTCCTTAAGATGTTCTGAGCAACCGTGACCCCCGTGGAAGCAAATGGCTATTGCAGATGCTCACTGCCTCCCGAGATCAGGCCCGTAGGCAGGACCACATCAGGACCACTACGTTGTTTGGCTGCCCCGCCTGAGACACCATCAAAGGGCCTAATTTCCATAGGTGGGTGCTCTGTCCTTTCTGCAAATCTAGGCCTCTTCAAGGTGTCTCATGATGGGCACTGAAAATCACTAGCCACTTTTGAAAATGTAGGTCAAAGAATTGCCATCCCAAACCCAAGCATTCAAAACATGAGTCAGGACCCTCCCCAAAAAACATGAGATTGGCTTAAAAACCAGGAGGTTTTCAAAACAGTATATTTAGGGCTCTTTTTATTTGCCTTTTGGTTCTTGAGCCATCAGATGTTACATCTTGAAGCTTTTCTCTGCAACCACCGGGGCTGGAAACTTGCTTCTTTTTGTAAAGGAAAGCCAATAGTCTCATGTAATCACCTGACTCCAGGAGCTGGAGCTTTAAGAAAAGCCCCCTAAAATCAGGAGACTCACCATAAACCCATGAGAATTGGTAACAGTGACCCAGTAGCTTTTCATTGCAGTTAGACGGTGTCACAGGTTGGCTGGCCTGGAGCTGGGCTCAGCTTTGCCTATGACACAGTAACTATTCACCAGCTGATCCGGCTTGGATGGCTTAATTGCAGGAATTAGATGCACATGGGAAAGAGTCAGGACTGGGAAATGGGGGCAGTTTAAGAAGGATGAGAGCTCAAGCCTGAGGAAGGCAGAAATAGTTTGTATTTTCATATGGGATTTGCTGGGGTGGGGAGTCCTGGGAGCCCCAGCCCTGAAGGACAGGTGAACCTTGAGAGGCTGTAGAGTGAATACAGGTATCCAGTGGGCCCAAGAAAAGGTTGTGAGAAAGGCGAGCCGGCAGGCTGGGGTAGGAAGAAGCTATGTGGGGGTCCTGACTAGACAGACCTTGCCTGCTCAGTACTGGGTCCCTGAGCTGGAACCCAGAGGAAAGGGATGATCTGGGTTCCACTGAGGAAAGTGGTGGAAGGACCTTGGAGACTAATGATCTTGGCTCAAAGACGTGGCGTGAGGCTGTTGGACTCTGTTACCCCACAAGGAGTGGGATTAGATGTGACCGGCTGGAGGGCTGAGTCACGAGAAGAGGGGGATGACTGGAGGGGCTATCGGGATGGGGTGCGAGAGAAGACCCTGCTGTGCCATGCCCAGCCACGAAGGGGTGCCCTGGCCGGTAAGTGACACTTCAACGGATTGCAATTTATTCCCTGATTTATTTACTGTCTTGTTCTTGCCAAAGTGAATCATGGCTGTCAGTGGGTCCAACCTGTAACCCTTGATTTCCTTTGTCTCATGTGTTTTGGAAAGCAAGTTTTTACAAGGAATATAAAATCATCAGCAGCACCATAGTGTTCCTTATAGCTCGTTGCAGCTTCAGGGCACTGTGTAAACAGTATCTAATGAGTGACTCCTTAGGCATGATCTGAGTCTTTTTGGCAGAACTTGTGAGAACTTATTTTACATTTAATCTTTGGAGAGGGAGAGTTTCTATAAGTGTCTTTAAAAACCACAATAACGTTCCTCTCCATGAGCACAATTAACTGTGGCTGCTTGATTCTCTGTGATTTTTTTTAAGCGTGTGCCTGCATTGCAGGATTGGATTAAAGTGTAGCCACACCAGACCTGTGCTTGGGATCCAGACCCAGGGTCGAACAATGAGAGCAGAATCTCAGCTTTCACTTAAATAAAAAAAAAAACTGCCCCAAAACCACACTTGCTTACGGATGCAAAGAAAATCTTGAAAATGTTGCCTGGGTATAATGATTCTCTACTCGAGTCTGCAGAGCGAGGTGGGAGAGTACCATCTAGGGCTCTGGCCATGGGAAGCCCTCAGTGAGTTGTGCCTAAGGCCCGGAGTTTCCCAAGAGCCTGTCTACACTACTGCGCGGGGTCGATCTAAGATACGCAACTTCAGCTACGTGAATAGCGTAGCTGAAGTCGATGTACTTAGATCGACTTACCGCGGTGTTTGCACTGTGGTAAGTCGACAACTGACGCTCTCCCTTCGACTCCGCTTGCGCTCCTCGTTCTGGGGAGTACCGGAATCGACGGGAGAGCGCTCAGCGGTCGATTTATCGCGTCTAGACTAGATGCGATAAATCGATCCCCGCTGGATCGATTGCTGCCCGCCGATCCGGCGGGTAGCGTAGACAAGCCCTTAGTTTGGCCCTGTGTGTTGCGTTCATCACCTGTTGGTCTGCTGAGTGGATGTCTTGTAGCCGAGTCAGTCTCCAGACTCCAAACACCTGCCTGCAGCGTGCCAGCCTGTGTCTTCTACCCTTTGCCTCAGCGTGGCTTCCCTGGCCAGTTCAGTGCCAACCATGGAAACTCCTGCAAAGATTCAAGCTGACTACAGCCCTGCATTACGTACTGCTGCCTTTGGGCTGGGCTCCAGTGCTCGGTCGCTAAGGCGTGTCACTTACTCGTTAAGCAGCATCTCCCAGCATCAAGACAGCAACACAACCTAAGAACAACTTCGCCCGCATACCAGGAAACCGGCTCCTTACCAGCCATGGAATGCAGGAGCAGATCACTCAGCGACCAGACAGCCATCCCTCCAGAGCGGAGTGAGCCATGTAGGAGGGGACTGGACCTACATCCAACCCTGGCCCCATTCTGTGCTGCCTGGCGCCAGCAGCTAGGACCACCTGTCAGAATATTGAACTGGTCCCATTTTATGAACCCTTTGAAAACCACTTATAAATGGAAACTGAATGTAAAAGCAAAGAGGAGTCCTTGTGGCACCTTAGAGACTAACATATTTGATTTCATCCATAGCTCCCAAAGCTGGGTACCGTTGTCCCCATTTTACAGGTGAGGAAACTGAGAGACAAAGGCCCAGATCCTCACAGGTATGTAGGGCCAATGAAATCAATGGGAGGTAGGCACCTAAATACTTCTGAGCATCTAGGCCAATGTGATTTGCCCAGAGTCACGCAGCCGGTGAGTGGTAGAGCCACGAGTCTTTGGAGTCCCAGTCCACTGATGTCCACTTGCATTCCAAGCTCCTGTGGCTGGTCTAACAGATCCTCAGAGGTGGAGGTTCTTGACCTTGGACCTGAAAGGTCAGAGATGATCAGGTATCCTAAAGGAATGAGGTCAGGTCGGGTTAATTCTCTCATTGCCCTGAAGCACAACTTAAATCAGCAAAACCTCCACCCCAGCCTCTCTCATTTCAAAGCATTTCTGCCTATTTATATGGCACTCACACCCCTACCCCTCCCACCTCAACCTGGCGCTAGGGTGCAGCACAGTTTATAACTGTGCTTGTTTATTACATATAGTGTTGCCATAGCAGCAATCCCGTTTGACTCTCTCTAAACAATGGCTGGAGTTTGATGCTGTAAGCGGAACTTTATTTTCATGAGCTGGCTGCAGTGTCTGTGTATTGCTATCCTCTGCTGGTTGGAATCCAAACTGTGTGTCATTGGCCCTATACAGCCCACACCTCACAGGAGATTCTCTTTTTTTTTTCGTGGGAGTGGCAGCAGGCTGTTGGAACAGGAGGATCAAAGAGCCAATCCAATTGTGACATGCTGAATGGCCCTGGTGTGAAGCATGGTGACATGATTTAAGGCGGTCAGACATGCCATTGTGTGGTTCTGCTGCCTGGCATCTTACAGGGAAGGGATATTTCCTTCTTGTCATCGGCCTCCTGTGGATCAATAGAGGCAGGTTGTCCGTCAGCAGGATGGTCCCCAGCAGCCCTCTTCTGGTTAGGCAAAGCCTTCCCAAATGTCAAGTTTAAGCTTTGAGCCAACTCCACTCAGCAGGAGTTCTTTTTCTTTTGGCCGCCTGTGTGCTCCAGGCCAGGCATGCCGACGGGTGACTCAGATGCAGAGAGAGGGAACAAAGAGGATGGGTGAGGCTGAAGTGAGGAGGAAAGAGACTGGGGTGGATGAGAAAAGGAGGGAGGAGTAAAAATGGAAAGCCATGGAGAAAAGAGGTTTGAGATGGGGGGAGAAAGACCGAGAAGAGAAGGAACAGTCAAGGGGGAGAAAGAGGGTGGAATGGAGCTAAGCGTGAAGAGCTTCCAAGAAGCTCAGCCCAGTGGGCGTGGAGCTCTTCTGAAAATCTAGCCCCATCTGTGGGTGCTGTGCCCTCAGAAATCTGACCCTGAGCTCTTGAAAATCTGGCCCATAGCAACTTGCTGTCTTTGGCAACCAGGGGCCACCTTCACAAGCTGGGACGGGGTAGGGTGTGTGTGGGGGGTGTCTCTCACTAATGCACAATTTGGAGGGTGCCTGGCGTAGCAGTGATGCCCTCTGCATCCAAATGAGAATGGTCAGCTCTTATCCAGGTGAAATGCATCATTCATGTTCCTCTTTTTTTTTTAGTGCACTTTATAGTTTGTTGCAATTAGTTCATTTAATCCGGTTCCATGGAAACGGAGCTGGTGGCCAGAAACAGTCACTCTCCTGGACTCAGCCATAGCACCTCCAGCTGTGATCTCATTAGGTTTCATGAGCTAAGCAGTGTTGGCTTGGTTAGCGCTTGTCTCGGAGACCGTCCAGGAACACCTAGGTGTTGCAGGACATGGTGCTGGATGAATCATTCAGGGCGCTAACGCTGGGGGGCTGTGCTGCCAGAGGGCCGGTATTTCAGGTGACACATAAAACCGAGACACTCCCTTGCTTGTTGTTAAGGTTCCCTATGTGCAGGAGTTGGGTGTTTGGACGCTGAGTTGAATTACACTCCAACTTGGGTAATTATGTCGGACTTCTAAATTCACCCTTGTGATCTCATTCACCCCCTTTCTAAAAATTCGAATACCGCATTGGTGCGTGCTGTTAAACAGCTGGTGTGTTCCACCTCCGAGGGAGTTGCACATCAGCCGTGGGGCACTTGGGTAAGTGTAACGTCCCAGCCATGGCGAGTCTAGAGAGGTTCTGGTGCTGAACACGGTTGTGGTTTTTTCGACGTGCCTGGATCTGGATCTGAGCTTCCTGGCTCAGGGGGAGGGGGCAGCTAGCTTGAAGTGCCTTTCAGTCCGATTTGCAGAGCAGCCATCCTTCTCTGCCACTGACGCACACGGCTCCCCAGTGCACATTTAAACAGGATTGAGAGCCTGGCAGGCAACTGGGCAAGCTCACCACAGGCTGACAGCGCACGGAGGATAGGACTTCCCCAACCTGCTTCTCCATAAGAGGAACGGTTGAGCCACCACAGTGACGGGGCCAGGCAGCCCCCCGTCCTCCCCTCCCTATTGCTCCATAAGAGGAGAAAGAGAGAGGGGCCCCCTGCTTGGCTCCCTTGGCACATTCCATTCCTGCCTGTCACGGACCAATATAGCCACCAGCATCACTCCACACACACGCCAGAGGTGCTGAGGCAGGCTGGAAGGAATTCAGCTGCAGTAAGTGCTCAGACACTCAAGGCCCAGCCACCACAAATGAGGCGCGCCTCTCATTTGGAACCAGGATCCGATCCAAATGCCATGGGCTTGGGGATTCTCAACTGGGAACTGGAAGCATGTCTGGGTGAGAGAGAACTACCGCCATTTGCAAATGGCACCCGCAGGATTCCCAACCCCAGGGTGCTTCATGAGCAGTGTTTAGGAATCTCTTCCTCCCCTGCCCGCCCCCCGATGCAGCTGCTTCTGGGGTGGAATACTGGAGCAGTTTAACAGCCCACGGCAAACCAAGTTAGTGCAGGAAGTGAAGCATAAGGTATCCGATTAAAACTGCTATGGAAACATAAGGAGGTGAATGTAATAACACAAACAGGAATTTATCCAGGACGCTGGTGATTATTAATCCTTTCCATGAGCAAGGGCTATCCTGGTCCCACCTGGTGTGGAGAGGTTGGGCTGCTTGTGACAGCTGTCAAAGGGTTAATTAACTCTGAGCGGTCAGGTAGTTAGGTAACAGTGCCCTGCCCTTGGGTTATTTTCAGCCGAAGAGGTTTGTTCTCACCATGTCATGCTTCTAACTTTGTTTGAGTGGCTGGCTGTGTTGAGAGTCAACATCTCGCTGTGAGACGACTGTGCCACATCTTCAGAAAAATCATGGGTTGGGGCCACATCAAAACATCATGAGATCGGCTTCAAAATCATGAGATTTTTTTATTTTATTTTTTAATTACTTTGTGGATGTTTTAGTATTTGCCGTCTGCTTGCTGTGTCTTTAGCTTGCTCTCGCATCAGGTTTTCACGGGTTGCTCCACAACCATAAGAACTAGAAACTGGCTTTTTTGTGATATCCTGAGATTGTTACCTAATCACCCAGCTTCGGGAGCTGGGGCTTTAAGAAAAACACCAAGTAGCATGAGAAACGGCAACCCAAAATCCCCAGTGGTCTCAAATTTCCTTGTGTAGTTCAACTGATCTCCCTTAATAAATACAGGAGATGAGGTTGTTGTTTTTCTCCCTCTCTCTCTTCCCTAATTCCCTGTGACAGCCATGGATCTACTGTGTAATAAGTTATGAATACTGCATGTGACTGGCTACAAGGTGTTTTTTTTTGTTTGTTTTATTGTATGGACATTGTTTGTCACGTGGGAAAACAAGCCCTGGTCTACACTACAGAGTCAAGTCACCACACGCTGTCCTGTGTCGCCCTAATTCTGTAAGTGTCTAGACTAAAATTTCACTCCCGCCACCATAACTCGCCCTCTACACCAACTTAACAACTCACTTCCACTGGTGGCACAGAGTGAAGATTGATGTATTTAGGTCGATGCAGTGTCAGTGTAGACACTGTTGCTTACATCGACTGGTGCTGGCTTTCAGAAGCCATCCCACACTGACAGTTCAAGCTGTGTAGGTGCTCCGGGTGAGGACATGCACTGCCGACACAAGGAGCCAAGTGTAGACGTGCAGAAGTGATGTAATGCTGATCGTAAATTAGGTCAACTTAATTTTGTAGTGTAGACATGGCCCAAGCAGGAAGAATAAAGAATGGCTCAGGATAAGCCATCTCCTGGTAAATGCTTCAGGGTTAAGAGACCATGCCCGAAATATTAGCTGTGAAGATCTTACCTCCAGGCCAGAGATTAACCTGTCATCCTGCTCACTCGCTCCTGTCCCAAGCCTCTCTTTTCTTCCCCCAAGCAACCTTCCTTAAACAGGATTTGAGGGTTGGTTTGTTTTCCCAGTACAGCTGTGTCCCTGTCCACCCCCATCAAGCTGCACACCTGTGTTAATATTGGTGCATTCTGGGAAAATCTGGTCCATACTGCCTGAGCGGTGGGTGCCATGGAAAGACAATCATGGCTGTTTTTCCATGCGGTGAAGTGACCTTTGGCATGTCCTCCTGCCCGGAGCCATAGGAGACGGGAATGGATCCGTGTTAGTGCCACCGCCCTGGTTAGGAATTCTGTGCTAACCACGCGTGCCATGTCGGAACTGAAACTGTAGCCTGGGTAAGGCCTTGAAATCGATGTTTATTGCACTAACGCTCTGTGATGCCTACAACCAACTTGGCAATGGCTAGGCAACTTGTGGGCTGGGACAGCTGCTTACCGTGCTGATCGGATTGTCTCTTTGTTACAACAAATAGCTGGGGAAAGAACAAGGTATCTACCTGTTCTCACCTCTTATACTTGGATTGTAACGGTCTCATCAGGGCAGGGCCATCTCTTTGATCTGTGTTTATACAGCACCTAGCACCACGGGGTCCTGCTCCATGACTGCGGCTCCTATGCATTATCCACTGTAGAAATAAAAACTCTGAGGCTGGCCTGCAAAGCTCAATGCTGAGTTAAAAGCATTTGCCGTTGCTGGATTTCTTGCTCCTTTCCCTCGCAGGTCCCTGTCTAGCCATGAGCCTGAGCAGTTCTGCACAATTCAGTTTCTCCATCACCCGAGCGCTTTCACGCCTCACGTTCCTGGGAGCGAAAGGGGAGGGGGGCGGGGGACTCCCTCCGTGTAGTGCGCAAGACTCCTCTCTGAGGCTGTCCAGGGCTCCTGACAGAAACGCTTCCTCTGGACAAGGCAGCAGTTCCTGCCAAAAGGCATTAATAATGCCCGTAATGTAAACCACTCCGAGCTGCTGGAAGGGGCGGCCTGGCCGCAGCATGAGTGATGGAGTGCGATCAGATTCGGGCAGCCAGATTGAACGAGATGAGCCTCCCATTCCTGCCTGCCTTGTGCAGCTGCTATTCTAAGGGATGCACTCAGGAGCGTTAAGCCAACTAGCCAGGGCAGGGGACAAGGGTGCGTCCTCTTTGAACCCTCGGAAAAGTCTCTAGATTCGGACCAGAACCTACAACTTCTACGTTCTCTGGAACTGCTGCAGTCTGTTTTTTGTTTTTTGTTTTTACAGTTCAACATCCCCTTCCCAGGCTTCTTGGAAGCAGGGCCACAAGAATCGGAGTTCTCGAACCTCCACTTAGCAGGAGGAACGTGGGGCTGGATTAGTGCATTTCCCTTAAATAACTGGTTCAAATTATGGGGAAACTTTTTTCAAAACACAATACGGGGTGGGGGAGGCCAAAACCCCGGTTCTGCCAGTTTCTCCCCTCCCCAAAACGCTGTGTCAGGGTTGATAGCCACAGCCAGGCTGAAGTGGGGGGGGGGGTGGGCACACTGTGCCAATAGTAGACGGCTGAGGCATGAACAATGCATTCTGGGATACCAGCTGGTGCCTGGGGGGTGGAGCCATTCCCTGACCACACCCACCCAGTCCTGGGTGGGACGCATGCCTGTGTGTCACACTAATATAATCAAGGTGTGAGGCTTTCTCAACCAAGGGGCTGGATGTGTGGGTAGAGCAGGTGGGCTGACCTGGGGGACATGCTCCTTGGTTCTCTGGATGTTTCCTACTTGAGCCATGGCAGCTGAAGTCTTGGTGCTGGCACTGATTTCCCCTGTTGGAGTAAACCATACCCACTCCATGCGTAGGAGCCGCTATTTGTCACCCCATGGCCCTGCGGAGGGTGCTGGCACTAGGGCCAGAACCTGGCACCTGTGGATCTAAACGCATGAGTCTCTGCCTGAGCTTAAAAGACCCACCCTGCTATATGTGGCCCAGCCACCAACAGAGAGGCCAGGAGGGTGCACTGAGTGGGTGTGAGTTACACAGGCCTGGGGACTTTCCATGCCTGCCCCATTAATGTGACCCAAACCGGGTCACCATCCATATACCTAACTACCCCATGAGCTCAATGCTCTGCTTCCACCTGCAGGGCCGTGGAGGGGTCACGCGGCTGGTCCGCTGAGTGCTGAAGCGGTTAAACCAGGCCGGATGCCAGGAGCAGAAAGGCCAGGGAATTAGGTCCATTAACTTTCAGACAAAACAAACTGATTTCTAAGGTTTAACCGGATCAGTGACTTAAGGAGCTTAGGTGGGAAGAGGAACTAGCACAAGCCAAGCTTAGCACAGTAACACAAGTAGAAGGAGGGGCGGTGGGGATCAGATAGACCGGCAGAAATAGGCTCCTGATACGTGGCAACCTGTCACCGAGTTGGGCACAGGCTGACACGTGGCCTATCCCACCTACACCCTCTTCCCTTGGGAGAGGCTGGTGCTGCCCTCAGGGACCTGCAGCTCTGGCTGGTGGTGCCGCTTGTCAGGCCAGGAGAGCTGTCAGCATTGAAATGGTTAGACGGGTGTGAGGAACCAGAAAGGGGGAGACAGGGAAGAGGAGAGGAAGAGTGATGGAGCAGGGACGCTGGCGTTTGGCACATTGTACTCACCCTAGGGCTCTGAGGACACCCGTATAAGACGGCAGACAATGATGGGGAAGTGGAAGAGGAGAGAGAATGAGAGGAAAAGCAAGAGAGGCCTTTGTGGGTCACTTATTGAGGGCAAAATAAGGAGAGCTCTCGACACAGAAGAAACGGGTCTGCACCCAGCTTACGCCTGGCTGACCTTCGCTGGGCTGTAACTTCCCCCACAGACAGGGAATTCCATTAAGGAGACTCATATGCCTGCCTCTGCAGCGTGGGCCACTGGCCACTATCTGAGATGGGACCCTGGGGTAAATGGACCCTAAGGCTGATCCCATGTGGCATCCCCTCTGTTCTTATTCCCTTTGACTCACTCCGAGCCTGGGGGCAAGTTGCTCGGCCACCGTTTCCCCATCTGTAAAATGGGGACACTGATCCCGACCTGCTTGTCTGAGGTGTTGAGGCTCATGGGCTTTGAGAGCCGTGGGCCAGAAGGGCAGAGACTCAGTGCTGGTTGTGTGGTTTTTGTTAATAGCTAGAAGAATTCCTGGAGTCATAAAGGTCCCTCTTCCTGCATTTTGGGAGCACAGGCCTGATGGGTACTCCAGCAACACATCACCTTCTTGGATCTAATCTGTAATGTCTGCATCCTCCCTGCTTACGCTGCAGAGGGATTTGTAAGAAACTCGATGGTTTCTAATCCCACGGTCCTTGGGGCGGACTGACTCAGCAGCTCGCTTCTATCTGGCTGGGACTGGCAGTTGTGAAAGAACCAATGCAGTAGTCATGGGGTGTGGTCCCGGAGGGAGCTGTCATGTCCCCAGCTCTCCCAGAACCTGACCCAAAGCATCTGACTTTGCAACACTTCAG